ACATTTGCTCCCATTATTTCTCAGGCAATTTTTATTTGGAATAAACGTCTGTCCCCACTAGACACTTGTGTGTGTGTGTGTGTGTGTGTGTGTGTGTGTGTGTGTGTGTGTAAAAAATGTCTTTTTTCTCACCGGAAGAAATATGCTGAACAACAGTATAATAATTGGATCTTTCTAGTAAATGGCCTGTTTGAATGGGGTCTCCAGTGCACAAAGGGTGGGGGGAGGGGAATCCTAGTTCTAATTCTCTCTCTAACCTCTGTCATTCCCTGAATATTTACACAGATACAGTACAGTTTCTTTGTACAAGAATGTTAAAATCTGTTAATTCTTTCTGGGGACTATTGAACAATATCTGCAAGCATAAAAAGGTAGAGAAAAAACAACAAGTTTTCACCTGTCATCTTTTAGTAAGCTATCACACTGGGGGACCTGGCAGCCAGGAAAAGTTTATATTTTAGGTGTATTATATAAACAGCACTCCTTGGAGGTAAGGTAAATTTCATTTGGGCTTGCATTTACAAAAGTCATGCATCTATCATACAAAGGGACTGCAATTGTTTTAGCAACATTTTATTCAGCCATTTCAGGGTTATTCACACATACTCTCCAAATCCGCATTTTGACATCCATAATCCTATGAAATTTTAATTCTGGAATTGCTACGCATTTCAGCAAAATACAATTTCAGCTCTTCCTGCTTTTTTCTGCCTTTTCTAGACACGGTGTTTGGTAGGCAAAGCAGGCCTCCTGTTAATGAAATGCAGATGGTGTTTTTCTATTTTCTTTTCTCTTTATCTCAGGAGCAAAATGCTCGAAGCATATTTTAAAGGGCTGCTATATTCCTGGATATACCTCAGAGCTTGCCCTTGGTAAAACCTGTAGCAGCCAAGGTCTATGTACAATATAAGGTGTCGGGTGTTTTGTATAGAAAATAATTTTAGTTCAATTGTCCAAAGGTTGACCTAAGGCCAGAGTCTCTTGGGGACTTTATTTTAAAAAGTTCTTTTTGATCCTCTCCTCAAAATAAAAGGTGCTATGTCTTCATTAAAATTCACAAACAGCCACAGCCTTTAATAACTACTTATGTCTTTAGATCTAGCTGCCTATTTAAAGAAAACCAGCACTTACACATTTCTAATTGTATGACTATACATGCCACATTTCTATATTAAGAGGTATTCAGTATTGGATTTCAATGAAGCTATCCTGTAATTACTCATGCTACATTTGGTGACGACTTCAGAATATTAATATGTAGGATTGCCAGTCGGGGTGTTTTAGAAAAGCAGGGTGCATAATGTGAATTCAGTACCATAACATAAGCTTCATACACCCACAATTGACAGAGTGTCTGTGCAGCAGCCACATTCGGATGGCAAGCTAAACCATAGTTTAGTGTGACAAGAATGAGTCACAGCAAGCTGAGCCTCTGGCATGTTTGAAATGGCATGTCAGAACCTTTCACTCTTCCATTAACCACAGTTTAGTGTGTTTCCCTAAACCAAATTGTTGTTCATTTTAACTGTGGTTGTTTAAACAAGCAAACTTCATAGCCCATGGTTTTAAGGTTCCTTGTTTCAAACCATTATTAACAGCAAACACAATTGTTTGTTGTTTCTCACAATATGAGAAGCTGGAGCTAAGCCCAAATGGATGTGAATTCCTCATAGCCAGGCTGGAAGAGGGGCAAGCCTGAGGCTCACTGTGGCTCGTTCTGGTTTAGCAATTTCCAAAGAAGGATTAGGTATCAATATCTGCAATTGCCAGGTGATTATGCCAAACTGTCTTTACTGCCATTTTGAATCTGGCTCTGCCCCATTTTAAGAACATAGGAAGAGCCTGCTTGATCAGGCCAATGGCTCATCTAGTCCAGCTTCCTGTTCTCACAGTGGCCAACTATGGGAAAGCCTTAAAGGAGGACATGTGAACAGGAAGTCTCTCAGGGTGGGTGTCATACGCCCTGTGAAGACATCTTGGCAGGGCTGGTCCAAGGGGGATGACGAATGGGAAGAGTGCCTGGCGTTGGGGAGGGGCCAAGTGGTCTGTTGGGAGAAAGCAACACCCCAGTGGCATTGGATGTTCCAGCTGTGGAGGGAGAGCCATCTGATCCAGTCTCCACCCTGCCATGAAGCTTTTCCCACCTCGAGGAAGGTTTCTGAGCCTAGGTCGGACAATGAGATGCATGCACCGCTCCATCTCTAAGGACATTCCATTGGTTGTGTCAGCACCAGCAGAGCCAGCCTACTTGCAGGAGCGCCTGCTTGCCTGCCCAGTCTTTGGTAAGAGAACAACACAAATGACCGCACCTGCCCTGCTCTTCAAAAGGTGGGTCAAGCATGTGTGTCGAGTGTTGAGACATCTTAGCCATTCATCTTAGAGCGCTTTTGAACTCCTGACCTGTGTACCTGTAACCTGACCTATTTTTTAGACCCTGCAGAGAATTTTGCAATAAAGCCTTTGGCAATAAAGTTGAAAGTTCAAGTACTGTGTCTATGAGTGGGAGCCAAAACAGTGGGTCTCAATAATTTTTAGCTGTCTCTGGTGAGAACTCCAGTATCTGAACCAGGCCACAGTCTGCAAATGTGAAGGTGTGGACTGCAATCCTAGGAGCATTTGAAAGCACATTTATAAAACATGTCTTCCCCTAAAAAAACCTGGGAACTATCATTTAACCCCTGCAGCTGCAATTTCCCTGCACCCTGAACAAACGAGAGTTCCCAGGATTCTTTGGGAGAAGTAATAGGCTTTAATATATGGTGTGGATGCGAGCCTATACTTGTTTGCCCTGGAGTATGCCCCATTGAGTTCAGTGGAACTTTTCCCCAGAAAGGAGCGTATAAGATTCAGCCTGAGTAGCGGGTGCTAAATGAACCAGGGAGTTTTAGTGTCAGAACTGGCAGCTTGACAGCTGCAGCTAATATTTTATTGCAAGCCTCATAATTTTATGCCACAATTATTTTTTTAAGAAACTCAGCTCCCAGAGCTACTTATTTCAGGTTCATGGGCAATATCTCCTTTCTTGTTTGCAAATGTCATCTTCAAAAGCAATGCATAAATATATCTCTAAATATTCAAAATCTCAGTTCCAAATCTGTAGAGTAAACCTGTTCCTTACTGCTCTATAAATATTTCACAGTGGTTTAACATTCTTATTATTTTATGAATACTTAATGAAAGATAAGCATTTTTTTGAAAATAGAGGAGCTAATGACTTGTAAGGTTATGCCATCCGTCTGGCTGAAGGGCTGACAGGATGCAAACATGACTTGACAATGGAGATAGTGTTGTTTGCTGTTTCCAAGATTCCCTAGAATAACTATCACGGCTTCATATTTCTGAATAAGGCACAGGAGAATTAAACCCACCACCTTCCTTTTAAGGTGATATGAGGGCCCTAGTTCAGTTCCCAAAATAGCCCCCCCTTCCTCCCAAAAGGAACAAATGGAATAAAGTCTCACAAAATAAGTCTTGTGGTTTATTATCACAAAAGCTTTCATGGGCTACAAAAAGTACTTGTGAGTCTGTTCAGCTGCACAATCATCAGCAAACCACAAATGAAAAGCATTTCCCCAACCCTGATAAACAAAAAGAAAACACCATGAGCATGTGTACGGTAGTTTCACATTTTAAACTCACTTAACTTGTCCTTGTTTTTGCTCACTTCCTACCTTAGGCTATTCACCAACTCTCAGCCTAACCTACGTCATAATGGCTGTTGTGAAGATACAGAAGACGGTGTAACACAGCTGCAAAAGGGAATTTAGTGCTTGCATCATTTATTTTGTTTACATATTTATAAACCATACTTTCCTATGAAAGATCACAAGGTGGCGTTTTGAGTTTGCTCCCAGGTTGGTGGGGGACTATGGAAAGCAGAGTGATCTGCTTTCATGAGCCGCTTTGGGCAGGGGTTGGCTGCGCTGCCAGGTTCTCCATGGGGAACTTAGTAGCACAGCTGAACCCGACAGGATCACTCTCATTGCCAGTGACAAGAAGCCTCCGTTGTCGGGGCACATAAAGGCTCCTGATGGTGCAAAGGCAGCTGTGTTTCTACCAGCCCCCCTCTTCATGTTGCAGGTGTGGGGCAGGTGGGCATAGTTTTGGGGAAATGGCTTTGTGCCCCAAACTGGAACCCATGCCGAGCCAAATTAGTGCTGCAGGTCAGAGGTTTCCCACCCCTGAGCTGAGTGAGCCTACTGCATCTCTGCTTTCCAGCCCCTCAAAACTTTTCGCAGCTCACTGCTTGGTTCCTTTAATGCCTCCTTAGCTCACAAGTAAACTCTGGTTCTGTATTGGATGACAGGCCAAGGGCAAGAAAGTATAACTGATGTGCTCCTCCTAGGCTCTAATTAGAGTATGCTCTGGACCCTGCAGCCACTGAAAAGTACCCTCTTCACACAATGGTCCATTATGGCATAACTTGGCCAACCACTTGTTTGTCTTCCCCTAATTTCGAAATCTAGATGTCCGGAAGGAGAAAAATCTCTGTCCTCCCTTGCAACAGGAAAGGCTGTTTATGAGCCACCGTTTAAAGGTTTCTTCCATTTGATTTCTCCAGTGCTCCTGGGCTATGGGAAAGCCACCACACGTGGACATTTATTTCCCAGTGTTACCTAGTTGCATGTAAATGCACTTGCAATATGTGTGTGCCCATTTGAGGGTAGTGTAAGTGCCCCAACACACTTCTGAACCGTACATCGCTGGTGTACTAATGGAAATAGCAGCAGATCCGCATCTGGCAAGCATGGGCGTAGCCAGGACTTTTGCTGGGGGAGGGGACGCAAAACCGACGTGATTGGTCAGTTAGTTAAGTATTTCTATTGTTTTATTTGATCTGGGGTGCACAGCTGCACCCCCTTGGCCACGCCCATGCTGGCAAGGACATTAAAAAACCTGGTTCTACACATGCCAACGAATATGACATTGCAGGGGGTTGGACTGGATGACCCTCGGGGTCCCTTCGTTACAGTTCTATGACTGCATTCAATCACTCCGGACTGCCGGTAGGTAGGTGCAGAATCACAGCTCCGAATCTACTCCACGCTCAACTCGCTGACAGTAAACACAGCGGCTGGAGGCGGCCTTCTCTCGGTCGCGAAACAGGGAAACTCCGCCACGGATTGGCTCCCTCCCCAGCCCGGAAGGAAAGGCAAGCGGCCGCCCCAGCCGTAGAGCGCCGGGGGAAGAGGCCGCTTGGCGAGGTCTGGCGCACGGGGAGGGCGAAGGGCGCGCCTCTCCGCGGCCAAAGGGTCCCAGAGGTCGCCACTGCGTCTTTACGCGCAGCGCCCCTTCTTCTCTCCAGGGTCGGGTGGGCGGCAAGTAAGGGGAAAGCGCTGGTATCTCAAGCCACCCCCATTACGTCTTGACTTGCTGGGGGGATCGCCAGCCAACGGAGCAGGGGATCTTGCTCCCCCCCCCCCCGCGCCTCGTCTCTGACTTAAGCTTTTGGCAACCTCGCCTCCTCCTCCTGGAACCAGTTTGTTCTGTCGCGGCTGGTAGGTGACGGGAGTGGCGATGGTGGGGGAAAGGCAGTTATAAGGAGGCGTCCCGCTTGCTCTCCATTGGCTCCGGTTTCCCTGCTGCTGCGTCTTCTTCGGAAGGCGTTTCCCCTTCCTGCCCTCGCAGCGTCTCCTGTTGACGTTGGCCAAAGAGGCTCAGGTGGCGCAGGGAGGCGGCGGGTCGGTTCCCCCGCGGCTCTTCTGCGCCAAGGGAAACATGAGTTCTGCTCGCAAGGCAGGAGAGAGGGTGTGCGTGTCCTTCCTCGCCCTCGAGCCTAGGAGCTGAAGGAGACCCCGGGGCACCACTTGCAATGGGTGCTTCTGGAGCCACAGGGGCCCGTAGCTGGAAAGATCTTGGAAGTTAAAAGCGTGCGAAATTTATTTAGCCAAGCAATACCTTGCATCGTCTCTCTGGTCCCTCAGGCCTCCACTTTGTGACTGCTTCTGTGGGACAAAGCCACCCAAGTCACAAGGCGAACTCGCATTTCCCCTGATACTCATATAGCAGATAATATGGTTTAGGATTCCCACCTAATCCAGCCGTTCATTGCTGGTTTTAATTAGCAATGGAAATTTGACTTGAAATTTAAGTGAGAAATATCTGTTCTATGAGGGAAAGAAGAAAGGCTCTACTTCCAGGGGGAAACATCTGCCTGCTCCTCATTTTGCTTGCCCCGGTGCCCCTTTTTTGACATTTGGATAGTCAGCCTTAGTTAAAGCCTCACCTATTTCGTTGTGTCATTCTCTCCATGCAATTGTCTCTGGGTTTGAATATGACGGCCAGATCTTCCCTCACAGGGAGTTGGCTCCTGATATTGAAGGTAGTACAGTCAGTACATGAACTTTCATGAGGGTGTTTTCCATGGGACACAAGTGCATTGTTAATGGATCTGTCCTGGACAGGATAGTGCCCAAGCTTTTGACTTCTCAGGCTAGATTAACCTTGTGCCCTGTAGATTTGAACTGTAACTCCCATCAGTCCCAGCTACCACACAGCTGTGCTGGCAGTGTTGCGGATGGGAATTGTAGTCCAGAACTTATGGAGGGCACCAGGTTGGGGGAGGTTGGGCTAGATGGCAAACAAAGCAGGGGGTTAGCTGCTAGTATACTACTTCGTGCTTATATAACACTTCAGAGAGCTCAGAGCATTTTACTTGGAATCTCTCAATAATCCTTACAACAACTCTGCCAGGTAGATCAATATTACTATCTCCATCTTGCAGGTGGAGAATAGGGGGTGAAGATGAGAGATTGTGGCTTGCATAAAGACACCTAGTGATTTAGTGATGGAGGTGGTATTTGGAAACTTTGAAAGGGAAGCCAAATCAGAGAGTTAAGGGAAGGGGTTGACTGTTGGCCTGAGGGAAGGAGTTTGCTGCTGACACTGAACAGAGAACAAGGTAAAAAGGGTGGACAGAGGGCCATGAGCTACGGATGCCAAGGAAGTTTTGTGTGTGCTGAATTTCATGTGGTGGGTTGTATTCAACTATCTTTTATTCAGAGTAGGCGTCTTTAAATTAATGGCTGCAATTAACTTAGGTCCAGTAATTTAAGTGAGTACAAGTTAATTACTCTGAGTAAACGGTAGTTGACAGCAACCCAGTGATTTGAACTAAGCAACCAGAGAAATGGTCAGCTAAAGATCAGAAGTGAGACCTGCATTTACTGCAGTGGGATATTACACCCAAATCAACCTTTTCAACTCTGCAATCACTTCACTGTATCCCAAATTTTGGTTGGAAACCAAGGTGTCACATATGGAAAATAAGTGCCAGTGGCTGTGGTCAGGATTCTTACATTGGTTCCAACCCATGATGTTCTTATAGGGACCACATATTCTCTCCTACTTTATGTGTAAATGGGGTTTACATGCAATTCATGCAAGTTTAAAAAATGGGGTGGGTGTATTATATAAGTCCTACTCATACAGGTGTGTCCTGTTGGGAGAAAAGAGTTCAAGGCTCACTCCCACACATTGCCGTGTACTAACTGGTTACCTGAACTATGTGTGATGTAGCTCATGGATGTAAAGATTCTTTGTGACCCATTGGCTTGGTTTGGACTATTTTTCTGGGCTTCTGAAATTGTGGTTCAGCCCAAAGTGGGGGAAGTTTATCTTAATAGTTTGTGAACTTGGGAACTAGCAATGGGATAGGGGGAACTGTACTCATTTTGACCCTCTTTTCCTCTTCAGTGTGGATTTTTTTCATGTTTAATAGTGTGTCTGTTCAGCACTTCATTTCTGACTTTTACTAAGCATGAGTTCCCTATTATATCTGGAGAATTTTGGCTTATTGTCAGATATTATCCTGGTTGCTAACTAACTGACAGATTTACACAGTTTTGGACCTACAACTCTGGCTTTTTGTAAATCAGAAATGAAGCAGAACAGTGGAAAGGGTGTAGGAATTTGGCCCTGGCTCCTGCTCCTAATTTAATAAACCATAGTTTTTGAAACCTGGAACAATTATCTGAACTAGGCCATTGTCCCCAGCAACAGCTCCCAGCACTTTGGTAGAACCATGCTGAGGTTTTCCCAATACCCAGTACTGAGTTCTAGTGAATACAAACCCTTAAAGAGCATAGTGTCTTATAGCGTTATCATTTGCTATTGCATCATTTAAAAATATATACTCTTGATTTACATTTCTAGGTGTAACACATGAGAGAGAGAGATGGCTGCTCTTAGTGGCTCAAGGAACTGTCTTTTAACTAGATTTACATCTTTGGCCTGTTGGGGAAAGTGCATTAATCCTTACAAGTTTTCCAGTGAAGCATTGAACAGACACCAGCATCAAGTGACTAAGTGCCAATCATGGAACAAAAGTAAAAACAGAAGGTGCTACTTAATGACGGAAAGTTCCAACACCTACAGTAACCTCATTAATAAAAGTCAAGTGCGGCTTTTGAACCCTAAGAATGCAGGAATTTTCAACGTTGCACACAGCTGTTCTAGGAGGCCTTGTATTCTCTTTGAGCAAAGGGCAAGAGGACTTTCTTTTCAAAAATCTCGACACTTGACTGCTTCTCACAATGTCCAGTTTCACAGGCCTTTTCACAGATCTTCAGCACTGAAGGCGGCTCCCGTTCCAATCTTGTGGATTCTATTGAAGCCTGTTCAGAAACTATTTGCTGTCATCCTTGGGAGGTAAACATTAATATTGCTCTGCTACACACTATAACAGTATAGAGTATACTACATTGTTGCAATGTAAATTTAGATGCAAGCTTAATAGGATACTTTGCAAACTTCACATGAGACTGCCTGGCATGCTCATAATGTTGGAAAGGAGCCTTGGAAATACAGTGGTACCTCAAGTTAAGTACTCAATTCATTCTGGAGATCCGTACTTAACCTGAAACTGTTCTTAACCTGAAGCACCACTTTAGCTAATGGGGCTTCCTGCTGGAGCCCAATTTCTGTTTTCATCCTGAAGCAAAGTTCTTAACCTGAAGCACTATTTCTGGGTTAGCGGAGTCTGTAACCTGAAGCGTATGTAACCTGAAGCGTATGTAACCTGAGGTACCACTGTAGATGGTGAAAGCTCACTTTTTGCGAGAATGACTGCTGATTTTGTGTCTCTGCTCCCCTCCTCCTCTCACCTCTTTTAAAGCCTGATGAGGTAGCTTGAAAGAACATGTGTAACTTGGATAAAAAAGGGTAAAGTACATTCCTATGCTGTTTCCCAAACTGTTCCCCAAACTATGTGGTTATGCTACCTCTATCCTCCAGCAAAGGATGCTAGAATAGCATTGTGGTACTTTCTGGTCCCCTGCCCGCCCGCCCTCCCAGTACTGAGGGATAATGCCTCCTGGCTCTAGGCACTAGGTTGATAGTACAGTACCACTATTGATTCTTGTAAAGAGGATGGGGCAGGGGCTGTAGGAAGGAGAGAGTGAGTATTGTCCATTCTCGGCTTGGAACCATGATAAATCGCACCTCTGTTTCTGTGCTTTCCCATGAAAGCAGCCCCTGCTTTGGGGATATGTTTTTGGTTTTTATTGATTTTCATTTACCTTAGCCAGGTTTTAATTAATTGAAAGGCCAACTGCTTCCTTGATTTGAAATCTGTGAAGCTCTCAAACACCTCTGCAGTGGAGTATGCAACTCTGTTCATCACTGTGGTGGGAAGGTGGGAAAGAAGCAGAAGAAATAAACATGCTTTAAATATGCTTAGTTTGAAATGGCATCGACTTGGTGGCTTAGGTGCAGAGTGTTCTTCCTGTGCTTTTAGTTCTATACTGTCTTGAGCAGTGCCTTTTTCTCCTAAATGCCACCAGCAGTTAGGCACTTTATTATCCTTTAAAAACATTTCCTCTTTATAATAAAATAAAATTTAGAATGCTTTTAACTGTGTTGCCAAGACACACCTTGTTGGGTAATTTCCACCAAGGAAGTAGTTGCGTCTCTCAAGTTTTTAACAGTGACTCAGCACAGGGAGTTTCGTTCCTAGCTTGCAGACCAATCGGTTAACGAAATTTGGATCTTGGTAATGCACTTCTAGCATCCTCATCTCTAGTCACCTTTTAAAAGGTAATTTGGCTACTAATCTCCAATCTAGATATCATGTGCACATCAGAGGGCTGCTGCAGCACTGTCCCCATGCATGTACTATCCTGCTGAGGAAGCCACACCTTTGCAAACTTCCTGGGAAAGGAGTGGAAGGTTCTCAGAATCTGGGGCACTGCATATATAGGCCTGCGTCGCACTTGGATTTATGAGCGGTGGTAAGGGCATGTGTCTGATGCTTCACCTTGTAAGCTGTTTTTCTGGATTGGAGGTTGAGTAATTTGGGTTTAAGAATAGGTCAATCACAAAGCATGCATCTAGTTTTCTAGTACAGTGGTACCTCTGGTTATGAACTTAATTGGTTCTTAACCTGAGGTACCACTTTAGCTAATGGGGCCTCCCGCTGCCGCCGCGCTGCCAGTGCACGATTTCTATTCTCATCCTGGGGCAAAGTACTTAACCCGAGGTACTACTTCCGTGTTAGCCGAGTCTGTAACCTGAAGTGTTTGTAACCCAAGGTGTTTGTAACCCGAGGTACCACTGTATATATATATATATAGTTCGTGATCCAGAAAGTTGAGGCTTGCTGTAGTGCAGTAGAATTTTTGACTCTGAAGAGCTGACTCCTTTACTTCCCTATGCCACGTAACAAATCGCTTTTGAAAATTATTCTCAGTTTTGGAAGTCCTCAGGTTTGCCTTGTGGCATAGAGGGAGGACTTCTGTTTGAGGAAAACAAGTATAAAATCCCCCTTGGAGCTGCTTTTACAGTGCTCTGGATTCTGGCCATAAACTTTACATATTCACTGCGCAGGCCTAAACAGCAAATGATGCTCCACTTGTGCTTTTGCAATATGGATGTTCTGTTGCTGCTCAAGGAACCATCTATTAAATTTAAATTGTATATACAAGTTGGACCCCATGGAAAACCATCGTGGTATATGTGGTAAATCCCATCCCTTATTAAACCTTTTCTTTGTTATTAAATGAACACATTTTTCTTACTGTAAATAAGGTGTCTCAGTGTTTTGAAACTTGGTTCTTTTTCTTATTATTCCACAGAGCAGAATGTTGTTTTTTAAAATAGAATATAATAGTTAATGGTTTCTCAGCCTTTAAATATGCATTAGATTTTTGTTTTGGCTTTCCTTTTCCATTCTCAAAGGCTTCATTGAAGCCAGATTTTAGATCTGTAGAAATTACTTTTATAAAAAAAAAAGTTTAGAAGGAGAATACTTTAGATTATTGAAACTGCTGTTTGGTTCCTCAAATTTCAATTGAGCAATCTCCCACTTTTTTTTTTTTTGTATACTGTGCAACCTCGGGTTATGTACCATCCTGCTTACAAACGCTTTGGGATCCTAGCAGCGAACCTTGCCCCGGGATACGAATGGAAGCCGTGTGCCGGCGGTGTGGCGGCAGCAGGAGGCCCCATTAGCGAAAGCACGCCTCAGGTTAAGAATGGTTTCTGGTTAAGAACGTACCTCTGGAACAAATTAAGTTAGTAACCGGAGGTACGACTGTAATATCTTGCCACGTGCCTGGCATTATATTACCTCACTTTTGCTTCCTCTTCATTTGAAATGGAAGTTCTTTCTGTACAAACATGTGCATACTAGGTAGGTACTGCCCCATCTCTCCCTATTTGTTTATTTGTTCTTGAAATCCATCTTCTTTTTAAACTCGCCTTCTCAGCCTATGACTTGCCTTAACCTGGATGCCTTAAAAGCTGCCTGATCCACCTATGGGTTTAATATGTACAGAAGCAAGACTTTATGTAGATCCCTAGCTTTGTGGGCAGCTGTATGCACAAATGGGTCCTGGGTTCCTGTCCAGCTGTGGATATGTGCACATAGCCTTTTAAATCCCAAATATGATGCTGCCCATTTGTTTGATGAGAGTGATGGTGGTTCCACACTCACTATTTGCCATATCTTCCTCCTGTTTACTTCCCATTCAGCTTTCCTCCTTCCCTACACCAGCTCTCTCCCCCACCCCCTCTTGTTGTGCTTATGCATAGCCCTCAGCTGCCTTTCCTCATCTCTCAGACTCCTCATAACACGCAGCTAACCAATCTCCTTGGTTTGGGAGGCCCCACACTCTCTAGGTGTCAGGGACCAAGGTGAGGAGTATTGCTCTGGTGAGGAGTGGTGGGACCCTCCCCCCGCTCCTGATCAGGATCCTGAAGCTGCCCTGGAGCAGTAAAGATTTGGAACAGTAGTTTGCAGCGGGGCATAGTTCTGACGACGAACGTTGAGAAGAACGGGGGGTGAACAGCAAAGTGAAGAAGAACAGGAAGAGAGACAGCTAACAGACTCTCTCTCACTGGATAGTATTCAGCATATCAGTCCAAGGTCACATAGAGCAGATAAGATGACTACACAAAAAGCATGGTGGTTGCGAGATGGAAGTGACTGGGGGGAAGTGGGAGGAAGCCTCAATTTGGAACACCTTCAATTCTGATAATGAATGCTTTGTTCTTTTGCTGTGATCATTAAAGACTCTTTAAATGGTAAGGGGCTCTTTGCTTTGTCCTGCTTATCTACGGCCAAAGGGGGGGAAGGAAGCCAAGTCCCCGGAGCCTGACACCAGGTTAACCAGCAACCCCCCCCCTAATTCCCCATTTCTCTCATGTGTACAAGAATGTGCAGCATATCCGTTTTACTTTTGTAGAGTGAGGTATCAAAGTGAATGCTGCTGCAGCCTCATAGCTTGTTGTATCAGTGTCACATTAAACCATAACTAAAGACAACTAACGATGTTAACTATGGTTTAATGTGAGCACTCCACATGTTAGTATATGCCACTGAAAAGGTTTTGCTCTGCTCTTTTTCTGTTTCTGCTGCTGCTAAACTTACAGGAAAGAGCCTGGCTTGTTGTTACGTCCAAACCCTATGGTTTCTTTCTTTCCAAATAAACCATCTGGCAATCAAGGTTTGCTCTTGGCATACCACTTGTGGTTGACACGCCATGAGCCTCAGGTTGGGCACTCAAAACAAGCCAGACCATGATTTGTTTCCTGGTGGCACAGCAGGCGAAAGAACTTTGGGGCATCATGCACTAGCACGCTATTTGTTTGCATTAAGCAGAGAAGCTTGTCTGTTAAGTTTTGACATTTATAACACATGCTGGTAGCACTGATGAGGGTGCAGCAGTCAGGGACACTTGCGATTCGCTCTGGCTTCCTCAAACTTTGCTATATTTGTGCCTTACAGGAGCATAAGAAAATGGTGGAGGGCACTTCCTCCAAACAAGAAGGAGCTGTTTAAAGAAACTGCAAGAAGAAATAAATGGAAGATAGCCCTGGGCCTGTGTACTTTAGGACTTGTATTTATCCTGTTTTATTTTACTCACTTGGAAGAGACACCAATCACTGGACGTTCTCGGCTTCTGGTGTTTCGGAAAGACCATTTTGCTGAATTGTCCCAGATGGAGTATGCCATGGTGGGTAGCTGTTTAAAAAAAGCAAACATAATAATAATTCCCCTGCCCCACTTAGCAGTAACTGAGATGACTCACAATAACAGTTCAGGGTCTCCCGCTCTACTACTTGAGACCCTTATTAATGCCCAATGCTGGTGATTGAAGATGGGAACTTATATGAAGCATATATCCTGTTTTCTGGCCTTCCCACATAGCTGAGGGAATTTTTCTTCCATTTAAGGAGTGTTGGCAGTGCAATGATTGAGAATATCTGTTTTTACTGCTTGTTACATGAGGAAGATGAATATTGCTTGTTAGTAAATAATATATGTATATATAATTGCTGGTATATCCCATGTCATTAGGTCACCTTTCCCGAGTTAAATATTTTGCTCGAGCAAATCTTTAAATTTTATTCCCTAAATGGATATCGTACAGCAGGGCATGTCATTTGAGGGGGTGAAATTTATTTTTTGCAAATTTCTTCATTGAGGGGGTCTTAAAAAAACGTTTTTGGGTGCGAGGGATTCAAATCTGCTGTTATATTTGCAATTGGACAACATTTAGCTTGCTAAGACTATGTTTGCTTAAGAAGCAAATAAACTGCTTTTGGAAAGCCAAAGAATTTTAATTTTGCTTTCTGAAAGTGTCAGGTAAAATCATAAATATACATAATATAAGTAAACAAGAATAATATTAAAATATAAGTACTTGGCAGTCATTTTTAAATTATTTCTATGCAATTTTACACACATTTTATTTAGCAAACAAAATTAGATTAATGTAACCAAAATATCTTTTGAATTCCCAAGTCATTCTACAACTTTTTAGCACCCTTCATTTTGGGAATTTGGGAGCTGAAAAATTCATCATGCCCTAATAATATGGTGGATGTCTCCTCCCCACTCTGAATTAGATTGCATCATATATTTTTTAATTTGTACTGACCTCTCTTTCATGGATATTCATGCATATTAATGTATCTATTGCAATTTTACTTGCCTTGAATCGGTCAGTATGCTGCGTCTTCTTTTTCTTCCAGTGGGTCAAAGAATTTAAAAGCAGAATGTTGCCTGAAACGGACCCCCGTTACCAGGAGGTCAAAAAAGTCTTTTTGCATCTGATTGACAGCAACAAGGATTTTCCAGGACTCTCTGAGTTCAAGTGGACTATCCATGTGGTGGAGGGACCAGACATTAATGCTGTTGTGCTTCCAGTAAGTAAAAATCAAACACCAAGAGATGTAATAATTCAGAAATAAGTTACTGACAGCGAATTCCTGTTGTCCGTGGGAGGACGTCCCAGAGGCCGAAGGGGTGAGGGTGGGGGGGTCGTAGCTCAGAGGCAGAGCATCTCCTTGCTCTTCCAGATTCAGTCCCTGGCTTCTGTGCAGGCGAGGCTGGGAATGTCACCAAATCTGAATCACTGGGGAGCCTCTTCCAGTCAGTGCAGACAGTGTTGGGCTTGACTTGGTACCGCTGTCCTTCCTCTGCCATTATTGCTTTCACAGTAGAGAGGGCAAAAAGGTGTTGGGGAGAAGAGGAGCTTCTAGGATCCAGCCTCCCCCAGTCCACATACACGGATTGAGAGAAAACATGTCCTGAAGTTTGTGTGCTGATTTTCTCTCCTTTTCTGACCAACGTGCAGGAAAGTCTCCCTTCCTCACCTCGCCCCCCCAAAAGAAGTGTGCTGAAGAAAAGGAGGAATAAAGAAGAAACACAACTTCTCTTTTTTCCTCCATTCTGTCTCTCACCCCCTCTCCCAATTTTTCTGCTCTGCTGGTGCTGGCCTGGCCAAGCTGTGGGTTCACCCCCACCCCCCACTTTGGATTGCTCTGTGAAACAATTTGTTTGCAGTATTATTTTTCCTCTCTTTGCCTGCAGAATGGACAACTGTTTGTTTTCACTGGTATGCTATCTGCTGTGTCAGATATCAATGAGCTGTCTTTCATTCTGGGACATGAACTTGCTCATGCTGTTCTGGGACACGGGGTATGTATCCTGTTTTAAAAAGTGACGTTGCCAAAGCCCTCTGAAACTAAACACATGGTCATAGGTGACCAATGTGGAGACCACCATTTTTGACTGGAATTACCCAGCGATGCTCACAGCCTGCCTCTTAGGGCTAATAAGCTTTGCTCCAAACTCTGCATCTGTGATGTTAATTGAACTGACATAGTCAGAAGTTAGGGGTGTGTCGTACAACTGAATAGCTCTTTATAGGCCTTCCTTACCCAGGGTTGGTGCTTTCCAGCATCCAGTGCTTCTTCTGCCAGCATTGTGGCTTCATACAGTGTTTCTCCAAGTTGGATCTCCAGTTGGACTACAACTCCCATAATCCTTAGCTAGCAGGATGTGATGGGAGTTGTAGTCCAGCAACAGCGGGCGAACCAAGTTGGAGAAGTAACAGCAACTTCTGCGTCTTCACGTTTTGTAAAAAGGGTCGGTAGACAGCGCATCGTTTTGAATACAGAAAACCTTAAATATCCATGCGCAATATTAGGACATAAATAGGTGGTTTTTAAATACTGTTTTCCTTGTTTCAAGGCAGAGAAGGCGAGCCTGATGCATTTTGTGGATTTCGTGCTCCTCATTCTTCTCATAATGATTTGGGCTGTTTGCCCTGCAGACAGCTTAGCGATCGTAGGCCACTGGCTCCAAGCCTGGTTTCAAGAGGTAAGATGATCACCGTTCTACAGAGCATTCGTCTAGCTCCTGCTTCTGGGGTGTTCTTTGTGGGGGGAGGTCTCTGTATTACAGGACACAGTGCTTCATTTAATAGACTATGGACCTGATCTAGCAGTAAACTTACAGTCTTATGTCAGCTTGTGTGTTGGACCTAAGAAGGGGAAAGAAACTGCAGTTCAGCCTGGGTGAGTAGCTAATTACAAGCCCGGGCTTGCCTTTTCCCCATGGGAAGCAGGTCTTGATCTCACTGTTTTAAAAATAAGACGGTCGCAACAAAGGTAGGTCATTTCATGGGTGTATTATGCATACTGTCATAGGTGTGGTTTGTTTGTTTGTTTGTTTTTAAAAAACACCATTGGATTGATTCACGAAAGACACATATATTGCCTTCTAGTTTGTAAACTTCAGACTGTTGTGAGCTGGGAGTCAACGCTAGGAAATGGAAGTACTTTGTTATTTCCCTGGCCGCTGCTCTGAGCCAGTAAACATTTTTCTTATAAATTCGTTCTGCTGGCCCTAGACATACTACTGAGTGGAGCATACTTACCTAGAATCAATAATTTAAATTCTACTGTAGCATTCATCACCCACAATGTTCAATCTCTGGAGGATGGCATGCATTTTGCAATAGAACTTCCTTCTCCTTTTATGCCTTTGCATTTTTAAAGGTTAGCTTGATCACCTGGAAAACGATTTAAAATGCAATATTGTTCTTCGTACATCTGTTGAGCCAATATTGTGCTATTTTAACAATCTTGGGTGAAATCCACAGATCTCCCCAAGTGATCCGAGAACCTCAGATGCCCTGAGATCCTTCCACTTGGCTTGCTTTCTTTCTTTCTTTCTTTCTTTCTTTCTTTCTTTCTTTCTTTCTTTCTTTTTCTTTTGCTCCGTGCTACAAGGCTCATTAACCAGGAACTGAGAAGAGAATAAATGGTCCTGCTCTCCCTGCAAAGTTTCTTATTACACTTGAACTTCCTGCCAGTCAGGAATAAAATCAGAGATGTAGGAAAAGGCAGTTCAGTAACCTAACCTAAAATGGCTGAGAGAACTGTCAGGATGATCAATGATACTTCAGCACCAGGCTTGCTTTATAGTACACAAGTTGCCAAACCCAGTTCTTCGCTCTCTGTCACATTTGGCAGTTTCTTTCCCTTCACGTTCCAGAAGTGTAAAATGCCTGTGGTAGCTCTTTTCTTTTTAAAAAGGGAGGTGCCAGGAAAACTTCTGAGGTTGCAGAAACGTGGTGATTTTATTATTGCTGTTTCTTGGTTTCCACAGCTGTCTGGGCTGGATACGGTGCTGCTCCCTCTAGCAATATTCCATATTATCCTCTCAAGTCAATGTTGTAACATTGACTTATCACTCTGACAACCGGAAGTCAGTAAGTCGCATAATTAAATGCGATCTCTGGTGACCCACAAGGCACTGAGCAAGACCATTGGCTTCTCAAATTAAATTTTTTTATTTCATTTGGTAGTGTTCATAAACCACCTTTCGTTGTGAAAAATAAGGCGGTTTACAAAATAAAACTGCTACAGTAAAGTAACAATATAACATACCATATTTTTCGCCCTATAGGGTGCACCGGCCCATAGGACGCACTTATTTTTTTGGGGGGGGGGAAATAAAGGGGGAAAAAATTATTCCCCCCCCAGCCCCAAAGAGCAAAGAAGCAATGACAGCGAGTGGAATGGATCCCGCTCGCTGTCCTGGCTTCCTTTTTAGCCTCGGGGCTGGGGGTCCGGGAGTGAAGGCGAGGTTGCGCAACCTCGCTATCGCTCCCGGAGCTTGTGGAGCTGGGGGCGGGGGAAGCCCCTGACCCCAGCCCCCAGAACAGGTCCGATGAGCGATGGTGAAGGTGTGCGCAGCTTCGCCATCGCTCCCAGAGCTTGCCGGGCTGGGGGGATAGCTTCCTGAAGCCTGCATTCGCCTCATAGGACGCACACACAATTTCCCCTTCATTTTTGGAGGGGAAAAAGTGTGTCCTAAAGGGCGAAAAATACGGTAGTTAGTGCCTTGGAATAACCATGTAGCCAGGTAGTTTTTTTTACCAACTGGTGAAAATGTGTTATTGCAAGATTAATACATGATTAACATAAGATTTGAAAAACTGCCTCCTCCCTCAGAGTACTGGATTAAAAAGATCCCAATTCCACTATTTTCAGTGACACTCTGGAAGGGGAGTAAGTTTATGAAATCTGTGGTCCATGCAAAATATGAGGTATTTCAAATACAGTTGGAAATATGGTATCAATTCAAATGGACTTTGGTCCATTACAGAACTAGGGCCAGGGCCCCTGTGGCCCTGCAGGTGGTTCCTGACCACTGGGTATGCAGACTGGGGCTGATGGGAGTTGGAGTCTATCCACATCTGTAGGCCCCATGTGCTCCCCATGCCTGTAGGGTTAAAACGAAATGAAATTTGGCAGTATTGTCAAATATCAGGCTGAAAAATCAGGTTTTTTGTTTGTTTTTAAAAGGAACAAACATGGAAACTGAATAAACTCTATTACAGCTGAGGAGAGTCTTGAGGCTGTCATAAGGCATGTCTATCTTTCATATCCACAATTTACTTTCAGTTGGGCTACTGCACAGAAAACCTGCTATCCAAGTTTTTTGCTGTCATAATTGCAGTGTGAAGCCTTACAATGTGTGGGTAATTTCCCATGACATTTTGGGAACTGGGCGGCAGGTAGATTGGAGCTGGGCAGGGCTTTCCTTGGGGCGAGACAGTGCCTCTTCTGCAGTCATCCTAAGTTGTTACCATCCGCCCTCATCACCGCTCTCTCTGACTTCGATCTCTGTGCTCTGCTGTCACCGCCAGTCGTTGGTTTACACTGTATTATAATTCATGGATATTTGCATTACATTTTGCATTGAAAAGCTTTAATATGAGGGGGAAAGCACTCTGCATATGCTCCAAAGTGCTTTTTTCCTTAAGACCTCTGCCATGGATTTAGAAGTGAACATGCATATTGCCGTGCCTCAATGTTTTTTGTAATCATCTGTAAAATGGGACCAATGACAGCTAAATGGTCTAAATGTAATAAAGCACATAGATGTCTCTTTATCTGTATCTGATGTGTCTGCAGAATACCTCACTGCTTTTATTATCAAAACCCATCTGGCTGCATGCGTTTAAGTTTCCTTTTTTCACCTGTGGCTAGCTCTGGCCTCTTGTCATTATTTGCCAGGCCATGCAAATACTCCCCGCTTAGCTGCACCCACTACTTCAATCTATAAAATGCTGGAGCATATCCTATCATTCTCTCTACTGTAGATGAGAGAGAGAAAAGTGAAGAAGCATCGCTGGCATGCATGGCTTTTATTGGAACCAAACTCTAGAACGCAGCAGGTCCTCAGCCAGGCTGCTAATGCAACTGCTGATTTAGCTGCTTCCTAAATTCCCCAGGAAAAATGTACATCTACACACTCTTCTCTAAGCTCTTTGCAGAAAGAGTAGGAGGGGGAACGCTTCTGCTGAAACTTGTCTGTTTGTTGCATGTAAGTTAGGAAAATGCTTACTTTGGTTTCAGAAACTGGCAAGAACAAAGTTCCGATGTCTCTTTCCTTTCCCTTCTAGTTGCTGTTCAATAGGCCATATAGCAGGACATTGGAAGCGGAGGCTGACAAAATTGGGCTTTGGTTTGCTGCTAAGGTAATAATAGTTTTTGTCAACAGGATAGAAAAAGTTCCTTTGCTTCATTTTAAGTAGACAGTGTTTTTCACAAATGGTTTTCTGTGTATAGTTGTAACACCTTACATAAATGGGTCTTTTCCTTGCCGTCTGCTGTATTAGTCTTGTTTTAGTCTTGTTTTAAATGTATTTGCTGTTTTTGTGTTTTTAAATGTTTTCGATTGTCTTGTGTGTAAACCGCCATGAGATGATTGCTTCGAATGTGATTGATAAAAATGATATTATGAATAATAATTTGGGATTTCAGTATGAGGCTCATCAAAATACAAAAATATCCTTACCATTTCATATGTACAGGAATGGGATAACTGTACCACCACCGCCACCTAGTGTTAGTATTAGTATTTATTATTAGAACACACACAAACTAGTTAGCTTGACTGCTGGGAGAAGAACAAAGTTAGTGGACCCCTTATTTTCACAGGCTTTTTTGCGAACAGTGCTGTTCACAAGAACTTTTATTCCTCTGGGTGAAAATCCATCAAGCTTCTTTCTAGGGTTGGCGATATTGCCAATGCTTATTGGTTTGTTACAAGTATTTATATTTGGCCTTTGAGGATACAGAAAAGTAGGAAGCATTTACGCCCAAAGGAGAGAATGATGCTTTAGCATGTACTTAAAGGGTGTCTGGATGAGGGAAAACGGCCTTGTTCAAATTTGTTTGCTTGTTTGCTTTTTCACCTCACTTTCCTCCATTCTGGAACCAAGGGCAGCTTCATATAACAAATTGTTAAAAAACCCTCTTCAATGAAATATAAAACATAAATAACAAATTACTCCCTTATAATAGATACCACAGTGCAGCTGCTTTATTAGCCATAGGCGCTGGATTCTGAGGGCTGAGACACTTCCTCCCCCCCCCCCAATGTGTTTTGTGTTTTTGGAGCGGGCCAGGAACCCTCAATGTTCAGAGGGCTGCATGCATGATGTCAGTATGTTGCTCAACATCTCCTCAATCGCCTGGAGAAGCTGGTGGCTCTGATAAGGGCTCACATCTACCCAGCACACAGTAATATTTATTATCCAAATGCCTGGAGCATCTTTAACCTGGTGCGTGTGTATCTCTCAGTTCTGCATCCAAAGCTATGGAGACCTCTAATTTGCCCTGGGTTTCAGACCATCCCAGCCTAGGAAGCTATTTGAGTACTAAGCCAAAACAAGGGAAAGGGTTAATTAGATCTTTATTGGAAAAGTATAGTTGCTGCGAAAAAATATTTGAAAAGAAATGTAACTTGAGATGAGAAATTTCAGTCTATGAGAAAGAGACGCTTTGTAGTTGTAATACAGAACTACTTGTTTGAAAAGGGAGAAAGAGTGAAAGCGGTGGAGACCTGTGTTGCAGTTATGAACTTGAACTTGTAACACCAATTGAAACAGAGGACAGCCTGGTTCACATGTCACAGTGAGCCATACTGGGACCATGTAAATGTGCTGGTTGCTGGAGAGACCCAGATCTGTGGAATCAGTGCTGCTACAAATGCTTTGATTGTTAACCAAAACTCTTTAAAAAACAACAACAACTCTCTCTCTCTCTCTCTCTCTCTCTGCATTAATTCAGAGGAGTATTGGGTTTTAAGCCAAATACATATTGATTGATTTATTTAAAAATAAGCTCTTCCCTTCTTTCCTTCCGTGGCGTGTTTATTTGTCTCAAGCACTTTATAAGTCTGTTTCCATTTCATCCATTTTGCTACAGCAGCTCCTTCTTTGCCTGTAAAGGTCAAGAACTTAACCCAGATGGTTTTGCTTCTATTAGCATAATTGGTATCTCCTCCTCTTGCATTGGCATATGTGCAGAAATGCCACCTGTTCCGTTTCCAGAGTTGTTTGCATTTGCAGGCACTGTGCAGTTTCCCCATGACTCGAGTTCCAGTCTTCAATACTTTTATTTAAAAAATATATTTAAAAATCAATATAGGTTGTTGTTGTTTTAAAAAACAATTTCCCAGTGTTAGTTTGCTAATGTTAAGCAGTTCTTCCTTTTACTCTTCTTTTAGCATTTAGCATATGCTACGAAACCCAGTAGTTCCATAATTTTAATTTTAATTTATAACCCAGTACATGCCATTAGCAAGCTCCAGCCTTTCATTTGATGTAAATGCTCATTTATTTTCCTTTTTTCTCTTTCCCATGGTTTTCTTCTTTAACCATGGAAGTTAAAACAGTTTTCCCTTGATCATTGATATCATAACATTTATGATACTTTGCCACTTACATTTCCCTTCTAGAAAATGTATTTTTCTGCTGCCAGCTCTGACTGTTATTGTCTCAGGTCTCACCCATGTTGAGTCATTGTTTAGAGTTGCATCTGAACCAGCTCACCTGCGAAGCACTTTTTGCTCAGCCCAGAAATTAACAACTTGATTTTATTTCGTTAAGGCTGTTGCTCCCAAGAGTTTCAGAGCATTGAAGACGTAGAGAAACCTACTTATCTATGCTTTTTCTCTGCTTTTGATGTGAAGGAAATGGCCAGTGATGTTTACAAGCATCTTAAGATTGCAGTTCAGTATCTTTCTGAGATATCACCTTCTCTTTCTTTCTAGGCTTGTATGGATGTAAGAGCAAGTTCTGTATTCTGGCAGAAAATGGAGCTCGCTGAGACTCTTACAGGGCAACCAAGAGTGCCAGAATGGTTTTCTACACACCCCTCCCATGAGAATCGAGCTGAGCATTTGGACAGACTTATTCCAGAGGTGAGGTGGTTTGGGAGTTTTGGTGTCTTTAAACTGAGTATCATTTTTCACATGTCTGTCCCATCCTTCTTTGAGTTGCCAAGGGCAGTGTGTATATATAGGATTGATTTCGCACACTCACACACTCCAAATCTAATAGTCATTATGAGTTGCTTTCTTAGCTGCCAATTTTCTAAGACAAAGATACCGTCGAAGTACTTGCTGTATATTGCTTAGATTTACTGAAATCTATCTTGGTCCCCCCAAGCTGCAGACCTCCAGCTTTCTCGCAGGAACAAATGTGCCTCTCTCTTCAGCAACTCCTAACCTGTTCCCGTTTCCTATTTATCACTTATACATTTGCAAACTGCTTTGTAATCTTTGCCCTCAAATGATCCTGTCATTGTTCATATTTCAGTCTAGGGCCATACAATAATCCTATGGCAAAGGTGAGATTTGAACCCAGACCTCTTAGTCCAGGCTAAATGTTACCTAGTATTAGAGCACAAGTTTGTCTGTAAGTAATCTTAATGGAGTGCTTTAATGTGGCCTCAATCTCAATGCTTTTGGATTTTTAGCAGTGGACGCTAGTCCAGGCGATTATGAACAAGCTGTTCCTCTAAGCTTCTGTCAAATCTGCCATTTCATAGGATTTGAGCTCAAGTGCAACTGCTTGTCTCTTGGGCCCTAACTCACAGGCACTAACTAAGAACTGTTTTGCATGCAATGTTAAACCATATTTAAACAGAAACTAATGTAGAAGGGACGCGGGTGGCGCTGTGGGTTAAACCACAGAGTCTAGGACTTGCAGATTAGAAGGTCGGTGGTTCAAATCCCCACAACTGGGTGAGCTCCCGTTGCTTGGTCCCTGCTCCTGCCAACCTAGCAGTTTGAAAGCACGTCATTGTACATAACATAACTGGTGTATGTGCACAGACATGCATTTTTTTGTTAAACTAAATGGCCAATGGTATGTTTTGATCAGCATCATATGGAGATGGGGTGGTAAAAACAAACTGGTCTGTGAAAATGCCCCATTCCTCCATGGCATGCTCCTCTAACTTTTATCTTTATATTCCAGTAAGTTATTTTGCTCTCATTGTTGAAAAACAAAAACCTTGCATACCTTATTTCATTGGATAATTTCAATGTTTTTCTTTTATCGTTGTACAACCAAGGACGATTTTATAACTTTTTTGTACATAGCTGTTACATGTAGAGCAATCTGTCTTTAAGTAGGGGTAAATTACTCTAAACAAAAATTTGATCTTGGATAGTTTTCCCTTCAAGTAAAGTGTCTTGTTGTTTAAATAAGCTTCTTGGGGTTTTTTTTTTAAGTGCAAGTAGATAAATAGGTACCGCTCCGGCGTGAAGCTAAACGGTGTTTCCGTGTGTTACTCCGGTTCACCAGAAACAGCTTAGTCATGCTGGCTACATGACCTGGAAGCTGTACGCCGGCTCCCTCGGCCAATAAAGCGAGATGAGCGCCACGACCCAAGAGTCGGCCACGACTGGACCTAATGGTCAGGGGTCCCTTTACCTTTATTGGTTAATGCAGAGCATCATGACACATGCAGCTAATAAAGTGCAAACTTCACCCCTCCTCTATTCCTGCTGCTGTTGCACCGCCATGTAACAACTTGCAAAACAACATCAAACCTTGCATTACGTGAAATACATTTGACAAACACGCAAGACGTAACCGGCTGTGCATTCACTTAAACAATACTCTTCTATATATTCTTATCACAATATCAAATGTTTATCTTGCACATAAACAACACATAAAGTGCAATAGTCCCAATAAATCAGTTCATTCACAAAGACCAAATATCTGCTGGTTTCTGTTCCACATATGTTCATAAAGTCCAAACTGGAGCCTACTACAGTTCCACAGTGTTGACAAGTATTTCCGGAATACTGCCTTGTTTCGCTCTCATGGGCTTCATCAATTGTACATATTCTAAGTAATATAAATGAATATAATGTCGTCATTCAACCTATTTTAACAAATTAAAATTATATAAACAATTGTGCTATAGAAGTACATACCATATACGAAGTATCAAGATAATAGAACTTATAACATAGTGGTTTCTGCAGTGAACAACAACTGTTACAATGTAAGATTATATAGACAGGCGCAGCATTGATTTTAGTTATAGGTGACAGCAATCTGCAGCTGTAAAGTTTTCTTCCTTAAGTGACCCCTTTAAAACAACAAATGTAAAACAAACTTTATACGTACACAGGTGTTATACATACAAGCATTAGTAATGACTCATAGAAAGCAACTATAATCAATTTCAGTATACAAACCTGAGGGATGCAAAGAATCAGGTAGGAAAATAAATCTCGTTTCTTTTTGCGTAAGAATTTTCTTTGCTCGTTCTACAGGACCTAGATATACCCAAATTACGAAAAATGTCATATCTCCATCTGAATGCGACGCTTGAATGAAATGCTGTACTAAAGGAGTTGGGAAAGAGCAAAGCAAACACCTGTTTGCATTAAACTATAGGTTGTTTTTTAAAAAAACAAACATTAGAGGGGCCTTAATATTTTAGGAGTAATGTTTTCTCTTCACATTCTGGTTCTGATTTCGTGGTACTCTTGGCTTGAGTCCATACCAGTGAATCTCTGGTGCAGTAATAATACTTATTAGTGCTGCGGTCCCCAGTCTTTTGCAGCAAACATTTCCTGAACCTTGTATGCTATGTCCTGTTTGTTCTGTAATAGCAACTTTTCTCATCATAAATTGGTTTACTGTTTAGGGATGAGATGAAAACCAATTTTTACAGAGCAAGTTATGTACTCCTTTTTATATATTTCTAAATATGTTGTTTTGAAAGGCATCAGTTGACATGCTTAGTGTTTTCTTATTTTTTTAAATGAGAACAACTACCAAATCTGAAAATAGAGTGCAAATTGCAAATACGCATATTAGATGCAGAGTCTGCAAAATAATGGTGATATATAATGAAACAAATTTATACACAAATTGGCCAGTACAGACATAATCTTAGAGGGCAAGAAGATAATTTATATTGGTTATCTTCCAGTCTCCTCTTCAGTCAAATATTTCTGTGACAGGAATAGTAAGTGGATCACTAGAAGTGTGACATGAAGGATCTTCTCGCTCTGCTCACTCTCCTAGTCAGCTGTATCTGGAAAGTTCATTAACCGTTTTTGCTGTCCTTGGATTTAGGAAGAGAGTTGTGGTTTGCATGTTGTTCTCCTTTAGAAATGGCATGTATATTGTGTGTTTTGTTCGCTGACAGTTAGTTAAACCAAAGGTTGCTCTGCTTTATTTGGAGACATACTTCGTTTTCGTTTTATTCCGTAATGTTGCATGTTTACATATAGATTTGCTTTAACCAGGCTTTGTTCCACAAATCATAAGTTGTCTCACAGATGAGAAAACACACCATGACTCTCCATCCCTTTCCTAAGCTTGCTTTGTTTTCCAGCTGTGCTTGCCTTGTGCCTCTCTTTCTTAATGAATGTCTGGGGTGGGGTGGCTGAACAAACCGTGGTTAAGCAAAGTTTATGGATTTGGACATAATGCCAAACCATAGTTAAAACAAACCATGGTTCTATGCCAACAACAAACCACAGCTTCGCGTCATGTTTTGTTGGCAACTCCCATTAGCCTTTGGGCTGGATTGAATGTTCAAACCATAGGTAGGCCAAACAAACTATGGCTTAGTGTTTGCGCAAAACTGCTCAGTATAGCTTAGAATTCTTACAAACTCTTTAGGATGTCAGAAATTATGATTAGGCAATTTTTGATGATGATGGTGATGGTGTGTATACTAGCTTTCATCCAAGGCTGGTTCTCAGGTGGTTCATAACATGTCTGGTATAGTATGCTAAGGGTTGAGTCAGGCATTTGATGCTAAGGAGGCTGTCGATGAAGAAGTCCAGATGATCAGTAGAGAAGCTGACTCTGGAATAGAAATGCAGCCTGCTATGGATTGTTTTGTACTGCATCTGAAGTCCCAGCGGGTTCAGGAGCTGACATAGCTCCTCGATATCCAAGTGGCTGTTGCGACTGGAAATGCCTTTGCCCAGCTTCAGCTGGTGCACAAGTTGCACCTCTTCCTGAAGTACCAACACCTCCCACAAGAACTGGCCCAACAGTTGCCATTGATATTAGGCAGGTGCCTAGTTTTTTAGCATGGGCTTAAAACATTTTTGTTTAGGCAAGTCTACCCTAGTTTTTAATTACCGTATTTTTCGCACCATAGGACGCACTTTTTCCCTCCTAAAAAGCAAGGGAAAATGTGTGTGCGTCCTATGGAGCGAATGCAGGCTTTCGCTGAAGCCTGGAGAGTGAGAGGGGTCGGTGCGCACCGACCCCTCTCGCTCTCCAGGCTTCAGGAAGCTATCCGCTAGCCATGGGAGACCCAGCTCTCCCACGGCTAGCGGAGCGCTGCATTAATCCCAAAGCTTGGGGCGTGCGGAGCTCAGCGCCCCCCAAGCTTCTGGGTGCAAGCAGGGTCTCCGCTAGCCCTGGGAGAGCCCCGCGACGTCGCGCGGCTATCCCAGGGCTAGCGGACCACTGCGCTAATCCCGAAGTTTGGGGCGTGCGGAGCACAGCGCGCCCCAAGCTTCTGGGTGCCGGCAAGGTCTCGCTAGCCCTGGGAGAGCCCCGCGACGTCGCACGGCTCTCCCAGGGCTAGCGAAGCGCTGCGCTAATCCCGAAGCTTGGGGCGTGCGAGCTCAGCGCGCCCCAAGCTTCTGGGCGCCGGCAAGGTCTCCGCTAGCCTAGCGGAGACCTTGCCGGCGCCCAGAAGCTTGGGGCGCGCTGAGCTTCGCACGCCCCAAGCTTCGGGATTAGCGCTCTGCTAGCCGTGTCTAGGCTGCAGATAGCAGCCTGCTTCCCGGAGCGTCGGGCGCCCTGAAAGCAGAGCTCCAGGCGCTTCGGGAACACATCCGCAGCGTGGGGAAGCTTGCAGGAGTTCCCCACAGGGCTCCCCACGCTGCGGATAGCAGCCTGCTGCCTGGCGGGTGGGGCG